TTTTCTACATGTATATCATCAAATTTTATTTATCTACCCTGAAATATTACGGTCCTCCAACAATGATGTGTACTTACACGAATCGTATTTTTTGACATTCATTCTGCTTCTCATATATCTTATCGAACTGATAATCCCAGATTTTTTGACGCATGGCGGGAATCATAATTAACCCCACTTTTTTTACATAAATATTATCTAACTTTTTTTATCAACTCTGAGATATTACGGTCATCCATCACATACAATGGCTTATATGTGACTCATCAAAAATTTCAAAATTCAATCTGACTGTATTTCATTTCGTTCTGATGGTCATATTTTATACCACGCAGCGCAGAGATCATATTTAACACCATTCTTTCCACATAAATATCATCTAATGTTATTTATTGACCGATGATGTATTACAATCCTCAAGTATTGATAGGTGTTTATATAAGACGCATCAATAATTTCGACATTCATTCGGTCAATATATCATACAGATTTGATGATTTTATATTATTCTACTCATCATGGGGTTTACAATGAAAACCTTTTTTTTAAATATTTCGTCTAGTATTATATATCGAGCCAAAAATGTTGCGGAATTTCGATACTTGGAATGAGATTTCCATGCTACGCTTCAAGATATTTCACATTCACTCTGTTTATATATCGATTTTATCGTCTTATAGTTTTTTTCGCATCGTGAGGGTCGCAAAATGAACACTATTCTTTTGTATATTATGTAGTATTGTTTATCCGTGATTCTTTATATTTCCTGCATAAGAAAAGAGGTTTACATATGACAATTCAAAAACATTCATTCTGTCCATTTATCATTTTACGATCTCATACTGTATTACGTGTCGCGGAGTTCACAGTGAACACCTTTTAAATAAACGTCATTCAATGTTATTTACACGAACATGGAATATTACCGATTTGCGATAAGTGGAATGAGGTTTATATATGTCAAATCGAAGGTTTCCGCATTCATTCTGTCAGTATCTCATACCGATTTTATGGCCTTATGACTTTCTTTGAATAGCAGTGTTCACAATGCACACCATTTCTTTATACACAAATATCGTAGAGAAGTATTTAACGAATATATAGTACTAATCTCTTCCGGTACGTAGAATGATGTCTACATATGACGATTCAAACATTTTACACATTCTGTCAATTTATCACTTCGGTTTTATGCTCTTGTATTATTCTACGCATCACCGGGTTCACTATGATCACATTTTCTATGTGCAAAAAAATCATCTAATTATATCTACCGGGCTGGAAATATTACGGAAGACAGATACGTTGAATGAGAATTACATGTGACCATTCAAAGTTATGAGGCATTGTTCTGTCAATGTATCACATCTACATTCTTTACATTCTTACATTATTCTACGCATTTCGGGATTCACAGTGACAACCATTTCTTTATACATAAATCTCATTTAATATTATCCATCTTGCCTGAAATATCGTGGAGTACAGCAACGTGGACTTTTATTTACATATGTTTATTCAAAATTTTCCACAACAATATATCATGTAGATTTTATAGTCTTTTATTATACTATGCATCGCCAATTTTGCAATAAACGCCATCTTTTCAACGTAAATATCGTCTAATTTTATTTATTGGTCCTGAATTATTACGGACTTTCGGTACGTGGAATGAGCTTCACATACGTCCATTCCAAATTATCCACATTTATTCTATTATATATGATAGAATATATGATATCGATTTTATGGCCCAATAATATTCTACGCATCACGGGTTCCACAATTACCGCCATTACTTTGAACATAAATACCATCTAATATCATCTATTGCAGTATCGATACTATTATACTGTGTGTTTATACTTTTAGTTACCTTTACTTCTAATTGATGACCTATTTGCTGGAGATGCGTGAACAAAGAAGTATGAATGTGATGTGAGAGGCACAGAGTTGGCATTGAGCGCTTTTCTCTTTGTAAAGAGAAGAGTCGTGCGTTGAAAAAAACACTGTCAAGGCAGGGTCGTAAAAAAACGTTTAAGGAGATTTGTCAGAAAGAGTCAACGTTTGCGTTGCATAAATTAATTTATTGTATCGTTTGATTTTATTTGAATAATTGTCTGTGATGTTTATCTTCTGTTTATTATTTGTTGTTTTGTTTCCGTTTTCTTTGTTATTTAATATAATAAACATCATTTAATTTATATTACTCTAAATTTGGGGGGGGGGGCTAGTCCGGGATATCAGAAAAAAAATGAAATAAGCGTAACTGTACAACAGATTTAAAAAAAAACGTTTATTATGTTTAAAGAAGCAAAAACCGTTAGAAAGGTGGATGAAGAAAGTTAAAATAGTCTGAAATTAGGACAAATTGAGATAGTAAAATTGGTACAACTGAAACATGAATTGAAGAGAAGAAAATTGAAAATCTGTGGTAACAAACGAGAATTATAGAATCGTCTGGGAACAGCTATATTGTTGGAAACCGAAAATAGAGACGACAGAGAAAGTGAAGAAGAAGAAGAGACCAATAAAGATGATTGTGATCAAAAATTG